GCTGGAGACCCTCCTCCGGGTGCTGCTCGCCCTCCTCCACCAGCGGACTGTGGCGGCAGGGGGCGCTTACAGTTGGCGGAGGTCACACTGACCCCGACACGAATGCACAACGACGAGTGCCTCTCGCAGAAAACAGGCGAAACCCACGACATGTGGCATCACAATGGCCAGCTAATCAAACACAGAGCAGACTGAACCCACGATATATCGACAACGCACCGACCAGCGAGTTCACTGCAAAACAGGGTGAGCTCCCGACGTCGACAGTAAACTGACACCCGCACAAAACAGACCACACCCATCACGTGCAGACCGTCGCTAGTCATATCTGCTGCACCGACAGACTCGCAGAGAGCGGTTGTACGCGGCCGACACCCCGTCAGCACCGCTCCCCACGCCCGACCACCCGTCTACGCCCTCACACCGCCCGACCTCAACCCCACGCCGACCTGCAGACGGAGAATAGCAGACAGCCGCCGTCGTCGCCGGCGCCGCCACCGCCCAGCAGGTGGCTCCAGCGCTCGAACAGCGTCACCAGCCGGCGCAGGCCGCCGTGGTGGAAGTGCAGGATGCGGTAGCGCGACTGGCGCGAGCACAGCACCAGCTGGCCGCAGCCGGGGTCGTCCGGCGTCAGGAACACGCGCACCGAGCGCGTCCGACCTGTCGGCGCCGGGGGGGGGGGGGGGGGGGGGGACGTGAGGAGACGGCGGGACGGCGCGAAGGACAGCACGCCACAGGCAGACAGCCAGACGAACAGCTGAGCTCCAGCCCAGCCACGCTGACGAGACTGACCAGTCCAGCTTGGACTTGTCTGCTGGTGTAAAGTCGCTGGTCAGACGACATCAAAGTCGCACCACCCACGCCAGGTACGGCCCCGTCCCACACCGACCGCGCCCAGGTGCACACACCCCACCCAGCGCAAGTCCCGACCCGCCCGCCGCCAGAACCGACCCCTGACCGACCCACCACCAGCCAGTGGGACGGCGACAGACCACCCCAGCCTACACCCCGCGCGGCGCGACTGGGCACGTCCCGGCACGGCCGAGCGCAACCGAGCACGGCAGAGCGCGGCAGAGCACGACCGAGCACGGCAGAGAACGGCAGAGCACGGCCGGGCGTACCGAGATCGGCCGTGAGCACGGCCGGCACGTCGGGGGCGATGCCGGAGCGGGGCGAGGGCGGCGCCGACTGGGTGGAGAGGCGCCGCACCTCCTCCTCCGCCGCGGGCAGCTCCAGCCGGCCAGCCGGCGATGACGCTGCGGACACGGCCGCAGCGCTGTCCGGCTTCCACTGGCCTGCCGTGAAAGATGTGCCGTTCTGCGGTTAAGACGTGCAATAAAAAATGCAATATTTTTCATTACATTTCAATTTTGTCTCGCTCAGTGGCGCGTCAACAAAGCAGTTTGAGATTTTTTGAGTCGTTAATTTGAGTGAGCAGGGATACGTCCAAAGTTGCATCAGATATCATGACAAACATACACATGGTAACAGTCTGTTCGATGCCCCTCTAACGGATTTTTTTCTCGGACTAAGCCTCGATAAGCGGAAGCAGCACACGCACAGATCACAGGGTGCAAAACGCCCTAACATCAGCGAAGAGATATAGCATCGCTGATGGAATTCAGACAGAAAAGTGCCAAAATCTGTTTCAAGCAGTTTAATATGCAACACTGCCCCACTCATCAAGTGTAACGTCGCGGTACAACTTTCGTGACATCAGCACCAGGCGATGACGCACTAAACCCCGATTTCCCCGTACCTTAGCATGACGTTACTCACCCGCCGAGGCCCCGCTCCACTCCCGCGGCGGTCTGACGTCATCAGCGTCGCTCAGGAGTGTGACGTCACCGCGGACGGCAAGACGCGCGTCTCTGCGGAACGGCGGCCGGGGCCGAGTGAGCGGAAGCCCGGGCGGGGTCACCGAGGTCACGGGGCGTGGCTGCCCTACCCTCAGTCGTGGTACGCTGCATGCAGTTGAGACCGGTACTGTGACGCGCGTTGCTTCGAGGGCTTTCCCGTCGTTCCCGGGTCATTCCACCGTGACGGAAGGTGTTTCGAGTGGATAACGTGCCTCTCATCGGACAGAAAAGCTCCAGTCCGATTCCCTGCACAGACAACAATCACTGGCTTCTGTGGATCAAAAACCATGTGGTATTTGCTGACAGGCATCTCACCATCACATTGTCTCGGACTCCCCTAAAGTGCTGCAGCCTCAAGACGTACATATCCCCACACGCCACCTCGGAAATTCAACACCTTCCCGACGTCTCAGACCTCGTTCGCCGGGCGTCGTCGTCTCGAAACCGGACAAACGTGTTACGGTTTGGGAGCCCGCCCACCGTGTTTTTGCCTTGGAGCCCGCCCACCACACCACTGTCTCGAAACCCGCCCACCCATCACCGTCTCGATCCCGTCAAACCACACCACTGTCTCGGAGCCCGTCCACCACACCACCATCCCGGAGCCCGCCCACCACACCACCGTCTCGATCCCGTCAAACCATACCACCGTCTCGGAACCCGTCCAACACACCACCGTCTCGGAGCCCGCCTACCGTGTGGCGTTCTCTGAGACGCTGCGCGACCAGGGCCGGCCACCAGTGCGCGTCATCAGCTGGTTTGGTCGCCAGCTGAGCAGCAGGGTGTGGCCGAGCTGGGCGTCCGGCTGCGCGGTGACCGTCAGGTAGCCGGGCGTGTGGTGAGGCGGCCCGACACCCGTCCCACCACCACCACCGGCCGGGTGCACGCACACGTTGTTCTTGCCTGCGTCACAGAGTGTTAGTTAGGTAGTCAGGTGAGTAGGGAGTTGGAGAGTGTTGGTGAGGGTAGGGGCTGGGAGTATTTTGCTTGTTGGGTGAGGTGAGTGAGTTTTGAACACAACATTAACCACCCCCTTACACTCTGAAACACAGTATTCTACAGCACAACTTGTATGTTCCACATAGTTCTTAGCCTTGCCAGTGTTCGGGATTGCAGGGGTATTCCAGATCACTAGGGAGCAGAAATGCTTTCCTGGAACCCAAAGCCTGAGGTGGCCCATAAGTCTGCCATGTACTACACTGGCGCATAGTCTTTGGCAGCAACACATGGCACTCAGAACTCATGGAAGTCAACAAACTGCTTGTGGCTTGCCTGCTGAGGCAATGAGCTGATAAGACAGACACAGGCTTAAGATCACCACTAATTTCATATGGCATCCAAACTTAAGTGGTCCATGGTTATGAACAGGGAGAAAGTAAGATGTCAAAGCAGATACAGTTTTCCATGTGATCATTCTCAGGCAGGTGGTGCCACAGACACATGAGCTTTTGCAGTATGGGTGGCAGAGGGATGAATGCTTGAACACTGGATATTTGAATGCCATGCTTTGACAGCATGTCAGGACAAGGAGAAAACTGCCTTTCAACCATCTAACAGCATGCAATTTCATAAGCTTCTGACATTTCCCTTTCACTCTGTAAACCAAGGGACCCCCATATGCTGAATATTAAAGGAGTTTCTCAGATGTTTGCTAGGCATTCCAAATATCTAACTGCATTGTTAGTGTTGTTATCTGTTGCAAAATAGCAATCCCTCACCCTCAAAAGAAATTTTAACCATAAGCCATCAAATCTGAAAAACTAATATACTCCACGTACCTAAAGAGGAAGCATAGCTTTTCAACAAAACATATGACCGAAGTAGAATATAGCTTCAAAACATTAGGCTATCAAGTTTGGGAAAGAATACTATTGAATAGCAATACTTACTGTACAACATCTCATCATCTTCAACATCTAGATGAGGTTGCACGCATGACTTATTCCTAGACCGGACAAGCCAGCTGAAAATACCGTTCATGCTTGGTGCCCACCAGCCCCTCACCATGCCTCATCGCTCCAACTGTCAGTCTCAATGCCTGCTAGGTGCATCATAATCTGAGTCAAGATGGTAGATGAATTTATTAGCTATGTATTTCTTGAGCGCTTTACCCGGGCTTGTTTTCTTTGGTTTGCTTTTTACCCATGCATTGTCCAGACCCGACCCTTCAACTCCCCGATGCCCCCGATGCATGTAGTGGACGGGCAACCTTCTTTCGTAAACACCAGTTGCGCTGTTTACGGCACAACTGCGCCAGAAACTGTGAGGTTACCGTTTGTGAAGCTCGCGGCTACGACGCGGCTGTTTGCAGAAGCGTGCTAGAGCAACAATTGGGAGGAGAGGGGCACCGTCTTAGTTACTGCGTTTATCTTGTTTTTTTTTGCGCACAGGTAAGAGGCATATTGCCCCTTCCATATCACGGCCAGTTTCTTTATTTTACACCACCGTGTATGGACTTGTATCGTCGCTTTTTGTGTCTAGGGTCGTTTGGCGGTCACCGGTGTTATTGTTACATGTAAGAGCGTGTCTGTTGGGCGCGACGTACAGTATAGAGGATGCCAGGGACATAATGAATGTGCCTCACCTGCATATTTTTACAGTGCTCTCAACATTGTAGAAGGGATATAAGCTTGACAACTTTTAGTGGTTGGGAACTTCAAAGTAAATAGATATATTTGCCTCAATACACAAATTATTTTTGAAACATCAATGTAACAAGATCATTGCCCAAGCATTTAGATGATAGTTGAGCTAAGGTGATGTGCAGGCCAATATCAATTGCCCCATGCCCAAGCTGCAGGCATCCATGTTTTTAGACAAAATGCTATTAAATGTTCTATAAGGGTGCCCTTTGGACAAGCATCCATGGACAGTGAAGCCTGTGAAAACCCTGATCCCACCAACACACTGCAGCAACTCCATTGTCATGGGCATTTTGGACCATTTATGTGTGCCATGCTGCGTCACCTAACAGCCGAACAATATCAGGTCAATGAGCATGACCAGTGGCTGGTTGGTAATCTGATAAATCAGGCAGTAAATTGCAGTTTCTGGGCTTTGCACCTGTGCAGGCTACCTTTTAAGTGGTTTGATGACCAGCTCTCTGCTTAAAGATACTGATAAAGATAAAGATCTGCAAAATATAAAGAGAGCATTGTTGGTGATAGAGCGCATTGTGACATGTGGCAGGGGTCAAGAAAATTGAGGTAGAAACCACACCAGCATGGAGTGGAACCAAGGCTGCTGCAAGCCTCCAGAAAAGGAAATGGTGGCATCTGGTACTGCTACATACTCAGTTTTAGAGGCTCAGCACATCCCCTCAGTGAACATGACATCCAGTTACCAAAATCTCAAGGTTATCTTTGTCACCCATTTTGTGAAACTGCCCACAATATGTCATGGATGCTGGCATATGAGTCATTAGTTATCAGGGTTTGTGGATATAATTCATCCAGTGGTTCCTGCCTGCATATAGTTTTTGGCTGAAAACCTGCCTTTAAAAACAAGGACACATGCCTGCAATTTTGTGCAACATTCTGCCATTGGACAGATATCTCACAGAGCAGTGGAAGCAGTCCCAGTGCTGAATGTGTGGCCCCAGTTGTGCCTCCCATCAGCCCCAGTCTCCAGACAAGCATGTGGTCTGTTCCATCAGCTCAGTGTCACAGATGAGAGGATGTTGTCCTTGGTCAGTTCAGCATTGACTGCAAGCTGTGGCTTATCACCAAGTCATGTCTGGAAAATGAAGGAGCTCATGCAACCATTATAGTGTGCAAACTTGTCATAACATCATTTATCCTGCATAGTTTTTCCACCACAAACCTTATTCTGTAATTTAATTCATCATGTCCTTTGTGCCTCAGATCAGGTTAAGCACTTAAAGGCCATATGCCAGAATCTGGCCTGTGATCCAGTGAAATTTCTGAAAGTCTCATTCCAGATGGGCCTCTTATTTTTTTTTTACTTCCTGTCATCAATTCAACCTGCTTTGACACTATCCCAAGGACATAGTGTATGGGTGGCCAGTGCCTCAGCCTAGGTGATGCTTCCAACACTGATATGTGGGATCTCGTGACACGTGTGTGGGTCGGCAGGGCGCCATCACCAGCGACATGTCGGGAACCGGACGGCTGACCAGTGACCCGGCCACTGCCGACTGTCGGATCTATGTCGGCAACCTAAACGCCGAAATCACCCCCAGCGATGTGGAGCAGCATTTCGAAAAGATTGGCAAAGTGTTAGGTATGTGTCACATTTGTGTTTTTATGCAGGGTTTTGAACAAGGTACTGTTGTAATCAGCTTGAACCAGTCATGGTTATTGCACTTGTTCTAGTTCACATTGGATGTGTAGCATCGTATATGCGTGAATGCGTCACATCACAGAGCACATGTAAGTGCAAAGTACAAGGCAGCAGCAAGTGCAAAATGTGAGATTATAAATCTGCCCAACAAACTGAGGCTTGGCAGTGCTGGCACATGATGGACTATGGTTGTTTAAGTTTCTACACGCTCGTCCCTGGGGACCGTCTCATCATCGGAGAAATGCAGACATCTTGCTGCGGGTTCTCCATCCTGCAGAGCGCGAGCCGTAGGTCCCATATTCACAATGGCGACCCCACATTATACTAACGCAGGTATCATACGGGTGATGTGTTTGGTGATTTAGACACGTTTAAGGTCGTGGAATGGTGTTGTTTCGGGTTGGTAATTGATGTCGACGTTATGTGCTGTGTTCGATATCACAAATGACGTGCTCTGTTTCAGCTGTCACCATTTTCCGCGGCTACGGCTTTGTACAGTTCACCCGTCCTGAAGATGCGCAGAAAGCCATGAGTGAAAAGACGGACCGGAAACTTAAGGGTCGTGTACTATGTGAGTATCGTAACGGCCCCGAAAGGCGGCGCTGAAAAACGCCATTGGCTCCTGCTTCCAAATCGACGCCAGTTATCTACCCTCGAGCTAACAGCCTCGTAGCATTGTTCCTACGAGCCTTCTGTTATGCGGTACGAGCTCTCGACTTTTTTGTTTTGTTTTGTTTTGTTTTTTTTGCTTGGGCCATTTTATCACAGGCCGGTGCCACAATGATTTCATTGTCACTCCCCATTTTCTATGCCATATTTTCTTTGAACTCTTGCCAATGTGGACAGAGTTCCTTCGAAATAACCCAGTATCTGGTGGAAATCTACTGGCTCGGGACGGGTGTCCCCTCGTGCCCCTTCTCCCTCCCTGGATCACGTCCCTCCCTAAAGTCCTACAGCTTTGCTCTACCAGGAAAGCTGTTTGCACCTTGAATCCGGTTTTTAACAGACAGTTTAAGTGACATTAAGTACACCACCTTTTTAAAGGAGCGAGAATATAACGGTCGCCACCTCTGACACTGATCGCTACCGTCACCACCTCTGACACCCGACCGTTACCGTCACCACTTCTGACACCCGACTGTTACCGTCACCACCTCTGACACCCGACCGCTGCCGTCACCACCTCTGACACCCGACCGCTACCGTCACCACCTCTGACACCCGACCGTTACCGTCACCACTTCTGACACCCGACCGTTACCGTCACCACCTCTGACACCCGACTGCTGCCGTCACCACTTCTGACACCCGACTGCTGCCGTCACCACTTCTGACACCCGACCGCTACCGTCACCACTTCTGACACCCGACCGCTACCGTCACCACTTCTGACACCCGACCGTTACCGTCACCACCTCTGACACCCGACTGCTGCCGCCACCACTTCTGACACCCGACCGCTGCCGTCACCACTTCTGACACCCGACCGCTGCCGTCACCACCTCTGACACCCGACCGCTACCGCCGCCACCTCTGACACCCGACCGCTACCGTCACCACCTCTGACACCCGACCGCTACCGTCACCACTTCTGACACCCGACCGCTACCGTCACCACCTCTGACACCCGACCGCTGCCGTCACCACCTCTGACACCCGACCGCCACCGTCACCACCCCTGACTCTGATCGCTCCTCTGGCCGTGCGGCGTGGACGACAGTGACGTGTCCGCGTGCCGGCTGTGACGCTCCGGTCCGCCGCAGTCCTGAAGCCGGCCGTCAAGAGTAACGCCAGCGGGCCGCGGCCCGGCCCGCCCGAGCTGGGGCCGCCCCTGGACGACGAGTTCAGCCGCAAGCGACGCCGCGACGACCGTGACCACTGGCAGGAGCTGGGCCCGCGGCCGCGCAGGTACGACACAACTGACCACTGGCAGGAGCTGGGCCCGCGGCCGCGCAGGTACGACACAGCTGACCACTGGCAGGAGCTGGGCCCGCGGCCGCGCAGGTACGACACAACTGACCACTGGCAGGAGCTGGACCCGCGGCCGCGCAGGTACGACACAGCTGAACACTGGCAGGAGCTGGGCCCGCGGCCGCGCAGGTACGGCACAGCTGACCACTGGCAGGAGCTGGGCCCGCGGCCGCGCAGGTACGACACAACTGACCACTGGCAGGAGCTGGGCCCGCGGCCGCGCAGGTACGACACAACTGACCACTGGCAGGAGCTGGGCCCGCGGCCGCGCAGGTACGACACAGCTGACCACTGGCAGGAGCTGGGCCCGCGGCCGCGCAGGTACGACACAGCTGACCACTGGCAGGAGCTGGGCCCGCGGCCGCGCAGGTACGACACAACTGACCAGTGTAGGTATGAAAACAGCTGACAACGCAGGTACTACAGCTGCTCACATGTACGACAGCAACTGACACTACTGGTACAACACAGCTTACCACCAGAGGTACGACAGCAGCTAACACCGCAGATACGACAGCTACTGACACCGCAGGTACGATAGCAATCGATACCGCAGTTGCGACAGCTACCAAGACCGCAGATACGACAGCAACTGACACCGCAGGTACGACAACAACTGGCACCGTAGATACGACAGCAACTGACACCGCAGGTGCGACAGCTACTGAGACCGCAGATACGACAGCAACTGACACCGCAGGTACGACAGCTACTGACATCGCAGGTACGATAGCAACTAACACCACTGGTACGACACAGCTGACCACCACATGTACAACAGCAGCTGACACCGCAGGTATGACAGCAGCTGACACCGCAGGTATGACAGCTGCTAACACCGCAGATACGACGGCTGCTGATACCGCAAGTACGACAGCTGCTGATACCGTAGGTAGGAGACGACCTGAGCTCCGCAGTTACGACAGCTGGCTGTCGTACGGTACTGAGTCCGAGTCATCGGCCGTGCGAAGACAATACCACGCACAGCCGTTTCTCACCAACGCCCGACTGATACGATTGTGTCTTTGCCTGGCAGCGCTTGCGCATTGCTCGGTTGAAACCCGCGTGTCATCATAAAGTGCGCGCTTGCGCTGGCGTGCTGGGGCCCCACGCTGCCTCTTCCGGGCTCCCAATGAAGGCGTTTTCCTTGCTGCATCAACTATCAGATCACTGTAGGTGCAAAAGGAATCGCGCATCAATCAAATGACAGTCTCAGCTGCTGGGAAAAGGACCGCAGCTGCCCCGTCGTCGATGCCTGTCAGACGGTGTGCAAGTGAGTGGGAACAGATCGCTAACTGGTGGGCACCATACGCCGCGGCGTGGAGTCCGGACTGCCGCTCCCCACTCACCCTCCACCCCACTTCCACCCCCCCCCCCCCCTCCCCCCACCCCAGCCACGGTGCGGCCGCGGCGGTGACTCGGTCTGGCCCGGCAGGTTCGAGGCGGACGACCGGGACCTGCCGCCGCCGATGGACCGCTTCAGGGACGACGGCTACGACCCGTACCACCGCTACCGCGCGCCCACCGGCGGGTGAGTGAGCGTGTCGCAGGCGAGGGGAGCCGTCGCGCGGTCTTTGGGACGTCCCGACGCTGTCAGCTGCGGAGGCTCTGTCGCTCCGCTAGGGCAGAAGGAGTGGGCGCCGCGTGTGTAGGAAGTCGCTGGGACGTGTGTTTGAGGGAGACGTGAGTCGCGCAGTGCAACATGATATAGTTGGGGTTTCGGTAAAAGGCGCGAGGGGAACGGAGAAGTCGTGTTTTGATGCCATGAAACGGCTAGTTCATAATTACATTTTGGTGTGATGTAACTGAAGCGACGGTCACCACTTCGCGCGCAGAAGTACCCAACTTGCTTAATATGGAGCCGGGTGGCAACATTCCGCTGTCGGTAAGGCGACAGCACTCGCATCCATCTCAAAAAGACACCGGGCGCTTTTGAACCACGCCGCGCCGCGAGCACGCGAGCACGGCAGCACGAGGGCACGTGGATGGCGGGCCGCTGAGCCGACACCTGGCGGTGACCCGGCCGCCGGCGCGCGACCGACAGGTACGAGGAGGGCGGCCGGCCGCCGGCTCCCGGATACCTCACCCACCCGCGCCCCGCCGCCGTCGAGCACGACCGCGCCAACGACTGCGAGATCGTCGTGCTCGACAGGAAGAACAGGTGAGCGCCGAAGCTCGGCGGTCCGGGTCGACCGAGGGGGAGGGGTGGGAGGGTGAGGGGGAAGTCTGGCGGCGTGTCGCCAGTGTGGGTTGGTGGGGCGCTGGCTGCTGCGGCGTTGGGTTTGTTTGGCTTTGTCTTGCAGTGATGATAGATGTATCTATAAAATATTCTGTAAGAGTTCAGAGTGCACAATGCTCGGAGTCGGGGCATGAAAGTAAATAGCTTGGATGTGGAAAAACGTTGAGAGATACCGATTTTTTTTATTTGCCTGCAGTATGCCGACGGGGATTTTTCACCGTGGTATATCGTGTCACCACCTGTTGTCATATGCAAACCCGAAAATGAGTGGTGGCTGTATTAACAATCACGTAAATTCTCCGGTTAATATAGTTCGACAGGAGACATGAAACGGTGTGTGACATGCAGAGCAGACGAGTGGCGACTGGCGAGTGACTTTCCCGGGTGGCGGACGTCCGTTTACAGGCCGCTTTTCCATCGCCGGGGTGATGTGACGGTCCTGTCGTCGGTACGCTGTGTGGAGTTCGTGAGGGGACTGTAAGGAACACTGCTTACTGGTTACTAAGCTGAGGGGACCCGAGCCGTGTCGGGTCCTGCGCGGAGCGCCTGGCCTCGCTCGCTGCCTGTCACCACGGGGGTCGGACCGCGTGGCGAGGGGTCCCGCCGCACTGCGCTGCGGGAGCGGCGGCACGACAGGCGGGGTCGCCACCTCCGCCTCTGCTGGCGCCGCCGGCGGTCAGGTCTCGACCGGGTGACCCGCCGCGATCTTGACCGTACCCGGCGCCCGTTCGCACCGACCGATGCGCGCCGCCGTCTGCCGCAGGCCGTACGCCGAGGAGGTCGAGGACAGGCTCAAGGTCATCGGCCTCGCTGTCGACATGCTGTTCCCGCGGTCGGGCGCGCCCATCAACCACGTAAGGCGACTGCGAGCGCTCTCTTTTTACAACGAGGGATTGCGACGTGCGTCGTCGGGCACCCTTTTGTACAGCGTCAGCGACTGCAGAGGTCATTAGCACTAAGGGGCCATGACGTCACCGGAGTTCGACCTCCCCTCCCTACGCGGGAGACTAAGACAAGAACCACTCGGCCGTTACGCCCCTGGTCGTGAGGGTCGTGTCAATCGGAAGAGGGCAAGGCGCGTGGCTGCTTGGGATCGCTGCGATCCCTTTCGGTTCCCACTGTATTCACCGTGTGCCTGATTTGACGCCATTGGTGCTGTTGGCTGAAGTTGGGGGGTCGACTCGTGGCCGTGGTCTGGTGCACCCCCTCCTGAACAACGAAAACGACGCCGAAGCTGAGCAACGTCTCCCCGTGACATGTCAGTGAGGTCACGCCTACCCGTGACCTGTCATTGAGGTCAAGCCTCCCCGTGACCTGTCAGTGAGGTCACGCCTACCCGTGACCTGCTAGTGAGGTCACACCTCGTGACCCGTTAGTGAGGTCACGCCTACCCGTGACCTGCTAGTGAGGTCACACCTTCTCGTGACCCGTTAGTGAGGTCACGTTTCCCGTGACCCATCAGCCGGGCGCCGCCGAGGCCCGTCGGCTGTCCCGTGCCCTGCGCCGCCCGCCGCCGCCCCTGACCGTCTGACTGTGCGTGTGTGTGTGTCCCGCCGGCCAGGTGCTGGACCAGATCGTGAGCCGCGGCACGCTCTACGCCGTGGTGATCCACCCGACCAACGAGCAGCACCGCTCCGTCTCGCTCAACATCATGCACGGCAACCCGCCGCAGGGTGAGGCACCGGCCGCCGGCCGTCGATTGGGTCAGGCGTGGTGGGACCTGCCTCGGCGGGGTCAGACCGGCGTGGTGGGACCTGCCTCGGCGAGATCAGACCGGCGTTGTGGGACCTGGCTCGGCGGGGTCAGACCGGCGGGGTCGGGTCGGGTCGGGTCAGATCAGCTTAGCCTAGCTTCGCTTTACTCAGCATAGCTTGGCGTTGCTTAGTTTAGATTAGTTTGCTTAGCTTAGCTTAGTTTTGCCTTGTTTAGGGCTGGTGTGGTCATACCTTGATCTGGTTGTCTGGCCTGGTGTCATTAAGTGTGGTTCGATTCGGTCAGATCGGCTAGACCATGTGTCAGTAACGATCCGGTTCATTGGATTTGGCCCCGTCCAGTGTGGTCTGGTCAGAGCTCCTGCCCGGTGCAGTGGGAGTGTTTCAGGCTGCGTTTGCTGTGGTGTAGGGGCTGACTGGTGCTGCGGAGGTGTTAGCTTTGCCAAACGCAACTATTCACCATGTGGTCTGCCTGAATTGGATGTCGCTTGCTCCAGCCACCAGCAGGCTTGTGCTTTCCGCGTTTTTTCTGCGTTCGAAGGTAGACACTGTGTTTATGGATGGCCCCAGCCGTGCCTACGAAGTCCCTGACATTCAGTTGCCCTCTGGCTGATTTCTGACCCTTCTGGCTGTGGTCTGGCTGCTCTGGGTTCCCAAGTGACTCATTCTGGCTGCCCCCTTACTCCTCTAACTTTTATCTGACTCATTTGACCGTCCAAATGACTCATCTGACAGTCCAAATGACTCCTATGGCTGTCCAAATGACTCCTCTGACTGTCCTCCCCTCGATATTTCAACATTCATTCAGTAAGGTGTGCAGGATGTAAATATTAACATATGCTGCCAGAATGCTGGCTTTCCAGCGGCTTCCGCACGCAACTCGTTGGCGCTAATCCGCTGCCCCTTGGCCCCGAATCCCGACATCTGACCTGTCCGGCCCCGCTGCCACGTCTGAGGCACTTAGATGCTGGTTGGACCACCGTCCGGTTTGATGCTGGTTGACCGATGTTTTAGGAAGGGGGGAGGGGGGGGGGGGCAACAGACAGTGAGCCCCCAGCCGGGGTGTAATAGCATGAATAAGTATTGACATCCTGCCACCCAAAAGGGCTCAATATTTGAACGCTGTTCCGACTCCTCTGGTCGTCGAAATGACTCATATGGCTGTCCTCTGGTTCTTCTGGCCGTCCACGGACTCCTCTGACTCCTCCGGCTGTCCACGTACTCCTCTGGCTCCTCTGGCTGTCCACGGGCTTCTCTGGCCGTCCACGGACTCCTCCGGCTCCTCTGGCTGTCCGCCTGACTCCAACCGGGATCGGTACTTGTCTGTTGATGTCCTCAACGCACTGCAGTTCCGTTCTTCCGTGTTCTCTGGCCGTCCTCTGGCTGCCCTTCGGCTGCCTGTGGCGATCCTCGCTGCCCTGGGTTCCCGGCTGGGTGTGGGCCGGCGGTCGTTCCTGTACGTCCCTCGTCATCCCCCGTGCCCGCCCTCCGGCTGTCCCCGGGGTGTGTCAGGACGTCCTCGCTTGCCCCAGAGCACCGGAACATGCCGCTGGACGACGCCATGAACCTGGTGGCGCGCAACTTCGAGGCCTACATGCTCTCCAACAAGGACAAGGCGCCGCCGCAAGGCATCATCAACCTGCTGGACTTCGTGCGGGAGAACCGGCCGCTCACCGCCATGGAGTATAACCGACTGATCAGGTGAGGGGTGGAGCGGTCGGTGGACCGGCCCGGCCGACGGATGGCGTCAGGATTGGGGTCTCACATCTGGGCGTCATCAGATGACGTCATCAGATGACGTCATCAGATGACGTCAGATGACGGGAGCAGGATCGGGAGATGTCACGGTAGGCGGAGGTCAGCCGCGAAAGGACATAGCTGGACGTTCTGGGAAGCGTGTGGCTTGAGATCTGCTGCTGTGCGTCTAGCTTATGACTACTGTGACGCCCCTCCGTGCCTCCTGCGCCATGGAGACCGACCCGGCCCCCTGCTGCTGTGCCCGCCCACCCGCGCCCGCCTACCACTCACCTCAAGTCTGGAAATCCTCCCCGCCCCAGTCCGCGCCTCCGAATCTTGCGGCGTGTGCGCGCACCTTCTGTCGGTTTCTCGGACATGCGCGCCTTTGAAGGTCGTTGGATGTGCGGTTATTTTCGCGTCAGCTGACGTTTTTTAAGCGCACGGACAGCTGCGTTTTGCGCGTCGTTTTAGCCGTACATCTGCCTTGTTTTGTCGTTTGTGCAATGCAGATGTTTGCGCTCTCGCGCGTTTGTATTGTTTACAGCATCGTCCCGCTTCGCGTTTTGATGTCCCTTTTGCGGTGGTGGTTGTCTGGGTGGCGCTGATGATTGATGTCGATTTTCCTCGTGTGTTCTGTTTTGGGTTTCTATGGCTGTGATGCGTCCTTCCTTGGACACATGACACGGACCGCCAGAAGCAGGAGCGGGAATTTATATTTAGGCGCCGCCGTAGGCATTTTAGTGTCGCGACTACCCAGCTCGCGGGCTTTGCAGCCTTTCTTGGCGCACATGTTGTGTATATATCTGTAAAAGACGTCGCGCCGCTGCTTGTTTTGGGCCACATAGGCGATGTGAGTATCCGACTAACAAAGGTTCGGCACTGCACACATTCCTGCCTGACTTTCTGACGTTGTTGTTCCGCTGTTAGACGCGGTTCGCGCCGCGTGCGGTTGCCGTTTCTTTACCGCGGCGCTGCAGCGCCTGTTTCGGCGCGCTCTGGAGCGCCCCGCCGCGCCCGAAAGTTAGGGGCCCAGGCTCGACGGTGGCGCCCCTGGCGGCCGTAACTGCCGGGTCGACTTTCTCTGCGCGGCGGGCCCCGCCCGGGCGAGACGCCACTCGCCGGAGGCTTCTCTTCCCCGTGCCTGGCGTGTCTTCTCGCTTGTTCTCGCGCGGGGCTGATCTCGCGTCCTTCGCGCGTCTTGAGGCGGTTGCCCTGTTGTTTGCGGAGACGTCGTCGTTTCTCAGAGTTCGCCTTGTGTGCGGTTTCTTGTTTTGCTTGCAAAGGCGTCATGTTTTCTTTTGAGACGCGTGTTTCTTTCGGGTTTTCGAACACTATTGCGGTAGTTATTTGGTCACTTGCCACCATTTGAAACTGTCATCGATATCTCCCTTGCAACTTTCTGCTGCTGTTTGAGAAGGGTCAAGAATGTTTGTGAGACCTTCGTATTATAGGCTAGCGCGATGTAAGCGAAGCCAAAAACCCGGCGCAGTAATCTAGCTTTTTACAAAGCCATGGGCGCGGAGTACATCCTGTGGTTGCACATTTGTGAACCCACACATTTGTGAACTCCCACTGACCAAATGAGAGTACCAAAACTTGTCGGAGTGAGGCGTGCCGTTTCATTGAGCACCGGTTCGTATGTTGGCAATCATTATCGTTACATATTTTTGCTGTGATTTGTGCATGGTTGGTACGGAGCCGTTGTGGCATTCTGGTGATTTAGATGGGCTGCGATGAGTGTGACAGGTACGACATCAGTTGTCTGTGACGCCCGCTGCGCCGACAGCGCAGAAAACATATCACAAACACAGAAGAAAAACAGAAACGTGCATGACTAACACAAACCGTTCGTGCGCGCGGTTTCCTTCAGTTTGTGTGTGCCTGTTTGTGAAGCTTGCGTGTTTGTGTGTGTGTGTGTTTGTGTGTGCGTGCGCGTGTGGATGGCGCGTGCGTGTAGATGTGCGCGTGCGTGGGAGCGTGGGAGCGTGCGTGCATGCGTGTGTTTGTGTATGTTTGCGTGCTGGTCAGTGCCGTCTGCGACCCCCGCCCGCCCCGCCGCCGCCGCTGTCGTCTCGCCCCCGCTGCCGACCCGCCCTGCCGCTAACCGCCAGCCCTGCGGAAGGTATTTGGAGGAGAAGCGCGACCACCAGCTCAAGCCGGACAAGTCCAGTTTGACTTTGACACCGGCGCCCGCGCCCAAGCCTGTGCCGGCCCCCGGTGAGTGCTGCTGTGGTGAGGGGGGGTGGGTGGGTAAGTGGGGGGACAGATCCTGCTGTCTCGAGCCCGCAGCCTTCTCCAGAGACCCGGGTTGGGGGGGGGGGGGGGGGGTGATGGAAGGCCTCGTGGTGCTGGGGCAGAGTCGGGAAGGGAAACGGAAACTGCACATAGTGGTGAAGAATGTGGCTTCCCGTTGCTGTCCCTGTGTCGCTATCAGCACGGTTTGATGACATGGAGCTCGGTTTTTAGTATCACTTCTCTGTGTGTGTATTTTACTGTAAGTTCGGACCATGCGTGAAAATACATGTGCGTATTATCGCGGGCTGGTGCGTAGACGTGGCCGTGATTAGGTCCCTCTTTGGTGGCCTCTGTCGTTTTCGCTGGTCGACATAGCAGCCACCTCAAACCATGCGAATGCACGCATTCTAAATACGGTCGAGAATCGCGTGCCGTTTGCTCTGTAGTGTTAACGTTATATAGCAAACATTTACTGCACTGTTGATGGCTTCGTCGATGTTGTTCAGGACCGTGGTGGTCGCGTGGCGACTATGAATCAGCTCGACTGAGTTGGGAGGGGCTGGAAGAGGGCGTGTCAGGTCGAGAGATGTCGCATTCTGCCGACACAACGTTGACCCCCCCCCCTCCCCCGCCCCGCCCTCGCCTCCGTCCTTGCCTCCGCCCCCGCCGCAGTTGTCTCAGTGGCGGCGCCGTCGCAGCAGCAGCTAGACCTGCAGCAGAAGATCCTGACGATGATGCAGGCGTACAAGACGCAGCATCAGTCGACGCTGGCGGTGGGCTCGGCGCCGGTGACGGTGACCGTGCCGGTGCCGGCGCCGGTGGTGGCGGCTGCGCCGCAGAGCTGGGGCGCCGAAACGGCCGGCAGCGGCGCCGCCATGTCCAGCGTCAAGCTGGCCATCGACTCGCTCATCACCAGCGGCCCCAACCTGCTCAAGGGCATGGAGGCCGGTGGCGAGCGCCAACAGCAGCAGCAGCAGCAGCAACAACAACAGCAGCAGCAACAACAGCAGCAGCAGCAACAGCAGCAGCAGCCGTGGTACGCCGCTCGTGCCAGCAGTCTTGGTCAGGCACCAGCCAATCCCCTTTTCGGCGCTTATGCCAACCAGCACTACTAGTGCAAGGTAGGGGGATGTAGCCCCCGGGCATCGCCGCCGCGCGCTTTCGTGGTCGCGGAACGATTGCGTCATCTGCCGGCGACCCTCGGAACTGCGAGTTCATGCGTGCGCCGCGATCAGACTGCGCTAGTGCCACCTATCGGTAAGGTGGCGAACCGCGTGTTTGGCGTGTGGTTGGCGTCATTTCAATGCGCGCGCTGCGGTTGCGTAGTTGTCGGTCGGGTTTGCGCGCTGAGTGTTTTTCAGTGCGGTTTCTTCGCGTGGTCGGAGCCGGTGTCGGCTGCGATTTTGGGGTATTGATTAGTTAATGTAGGCTGTGTGTTTTGCGTCGGGACTATTTTTTATTGATTGCATGCCCCGCCGCGGAAGAGAGAGCCTTGGAATGCATGAGTCGCCGGCAGTGTAGGTCCATCCATGGTTTTAAGTGCCCTCCGCCATTATATCAGTAATTATGAGCCGGCGGATTTGTGGAATTGGCATCTGGCCAAATTGGCTAGTGCTGTCAATGTCGTGGGGGCGTGTATTCTTATCCAAGCCACGGTAAACCTTTTTCGGCACTCGTCACATTTGCAGATATGTCGTAGACCTTAATGTGCATTTTGTGCTGTTTCATGCCTCTGGAATAACACCGAATCTTAGTGACAGATTTTCTTTAAGTGAGTATAAAAACAAACTGATACCCTTTGTATATTTAACCCAACGCCTTCCAAAACAAAATGTGGAGAAATGAGCAAGAATTCAAGTTCGGGAAGTTATGCTAATTGACTAGATGATGTATTTTGGGGTGTACAAAAGTGCTTCATGAGTTCTTGCTGGGCTGGCAAGAAAAGAGCCCAACGGTGAAGCTTTCCAGGAAACCTGCATGGAGTACCGGAATAACCGCATGAAGATGACTTGCAACTTATTCCAGTATGCAAACAAAACAAGCATTTTCTATCAATCTCTACCACGGTACGAATGCTTTGAAAACTATGGCGAGGAACTTGCTCTCGTTTCTGTCGATTCTTTCGCGTGGTCTCCGCCCGGTCATCCTATTTTCCATTTTGTTTCGCCTTGCGGCAAGTGAATACGCCCCGCATGGGGTCGTTTTCGCGTGAAAGGGGTACACCTGGTGCATGACATCGTACATTTATATTCCGTTTCGTGAAACTGGCAGACTGCACCTCAGTCCGGCTGCCCTGTGTGCAAGAGGCTACAACTACAACACGAACAGTCTACATTATATAAAGAGTACCAAGGAGGCAAGCGCAATAAAAGTTAGAGACTCATTATTCGGCATTTGAGAGCTTGGGCAGCATTCATTGTCCCGCGATATTGACCCACTGCTATGAGTTAAACGATTTTCTTGACTATTTGTTTGAACCAGAAGACACCACCTTTTCTTCTGCGGTGCGGCAAGGTCGGTTCCAAACTTCAAGAGCCGCGTTTCTAGCTGCCTTGACGTTTCGGCGCCGCGTCGTCGATTTCGCCTTGTTCTGCACTGTGTGTTCGACGCGGATTGTTGGCGATCTTGGCGGAATTTGCGTCATGACTCCTGACTCCCGTGTGTCCTATGTGATCCCACCCCCACCTATCACACACCCATTCCACGGAGGGGCAGCCCAGTCCCGCCTTGTATCTGTCGGTAGTGAAAACAATGCAGTGCATGTCTGTACAATGAATACAACCATGGCAGTATGAGCGCTGGTGTTTCCAGAATGATGGTGGCAGAAGCTGAACGGGCTGGTATATGGTGGCAAGGTTAGCGGAGGGAACAATGTCAAAGTAGCACGTGGGGGCTTGCTAGGACATGCCGCAATTAGCCAGCGCGGCGGCCGTATAATTAATTCCAGCGTGAACGTTGGCAAAACGGGCACTAATGGCACGAAAACCGAACATCGGCGGCATTTTCAAAGGACCGACATCAACGTCCACCGGTAACGGTACAATCCAGGCGCGGCACAAAAACCACCCCAGCCAGGTGCCCACGGTACTCCTGTCGTGCCGGGCGCATCCGTGAACGTGCCAAACATGGTTCAAGGACAACGGTCCAGCGCCGTGCGGTAAACCGTCCGACGCCGGACGCATGACTACGACAGGCAGCCCTGAGCGAATGACGGAAAGCCGGAGTGGGTGCTGACTGCTGGGATAGTGCAAAGGGAGAGGCGGGCGCATTCTACGGTGAACAGGGGTATGATATTTGCCGACTTTGCTAGCGTTCGTGTGACGTCACCAACAGGCGTCAATAACGGTTTTGCGATCGTATCATCCATTTTCGCCGCGAGGGACCTACTCACTGACCTCAAGGGAGCGACACACGTGGGTGGAACTTTGTATCGCCTTAGGGATGCCCCCCGCCCCCTAAACCCCGCTTCTCCACCCCATTGTTTGTCTTGGCCACAGCTATTTTTGAGAAGGTTATTCCTTTAAACCTGCTTACTGCCTGTGCACTTAGGTGCCGCTTTAGACCGAACTTCAGAGAGATTGTTCAGATTGATCCTTGCTTCAGATATCCTTCAGAGAGATTGTGCTCTATTTATGTCGCGTTTCTTGCGCACCTGAACGGCATGCAGTTTCTTTATTTGCTGTCTGCTGGGGAGCCGCATCCTCGACTTCCCTGACGCTTGGATTGCAACGTTTCGAAGCAGCACGACAATGTCGCGTAATAATGGGGTGGTTTGCTGAGGCCGTTCGCGACATAACCGGGAGAGGGTTCAGGCTGTTGAAGCTTTCGAGAAATGGTTCGGGATAAGCTCAGTTGATCTCATGGGTGCAACCCAGTGTAGCCACATTGCGTTCGCAAGATCGAAACCGGGCTTGATCCGGCCTGACAAGTTTTGCAGAGGGATATAGGTGGATAGTGTCCAGCCAATGCCTGGAAGCCTTGCCGCTTGTATGCAGTTAGGTGAGTAATTTTCTCTGCAGCAGTCTTTCTGGGAAATGTCATCGATGGGCAAATGAGTTCAAATGTGCACTTGAGAACAAATGTGAGAAAGGGTTCGCTCTGTCAATTGGTGGACGTTATGCACTGCATACGGTCCTGCCGGTTATTCTTGCGTGAACTTCAGTTCGGCAAATGGCTTGCGGATCATGTCGCGACAGGACTATGTTGATACGCCATTTTGAGAAAACGTCAGCGGTGGAACTTTAAAGGGCTATCGCAACTCTCAATTCAGTGCAATATTAGCCGAAATACACGCGGTGATGTTTGGATGCAGTAAATAAGGAATCCCCAGGTGCGGATTTACATATCCTTGGTACAATGGCGCAGTTGAGACATACTTAAATATGCAGCTATGCGTTTGGTACGCTCTGGAACGGTGGGAACCAAAAAGGGAGTCACCTGTTGCACGCCCGTGGTGTGCGCGTCATTGTTGACGTTTTGCTCTGCGGTGATGGAATACTAAATAAGCACCGGGAATAATTTGACTCATTTTAAGAGGCGCTGAGTCAGAGGCAGTGCCACCGGTTGAGACTGCACCACCAGGTCAGTTGTTAGCGTATGAAAATCATATGCCTGTCATTTTGATCGCGTCCCTTTGTCCCCGTGTGAATGTGAATTTTTAAAGAACTGGGAGATTGCAAGATATTTTCAAGTTGTGCATGCTACCTGTTTAACCTTAGAAGATAATGTTATAATTATGCCGGAAGTAATGGGTCATGATCTCTCAGATACCCCACCCACCTTTGCACCTTTGTTGCCGTGTTTATGTGACTGTTACTTGCTGAGTTGCTTACCCTTATTAATGTTTGTATTACATTAGCTATTTTACATTTGAGAGTTGTGCTCTAGATATTTCCCCAGCAGGCATAGTTGCAGTGCTGGCATATTATGCCTCATGGTTATGAACATGGAGTCACTCTGGGCTGCATAAATGCATGTTATGCTGGACATATCTTAACAGCCAACATATCTTAACAGGCACTTTATTGCAATCTTTACACTGCTTATACTCTGTCCATATGAGTGTTTCAAGTTTTGAGTTTATAAAGGGGACAACATTTACTGGCCTTTACTTGAGAGCACTTGACATAATTCCTGATGTCTTGTAATATTGGTTCTATGCACTCAATGTATGGGTAGGCAAGACCAGATCCAAGGCATGTGAGTCTCATATTCTGAAGCAATTGACACAACTAGATATCCACAACTAGATAGTAAAAGATATCCAAGTGTGCCATTCAAAGCTGAGAATAGTTGTTCATTCAATAGCTGGCAGCTATACTGCTGTTTTTTTCTTGTTTTTTCTTTGTAAATGCCATTTAACTTAAGCTATTGTTAAGTAATTGGACCAGCAACAATAGTCTCTGAGAAGTATCATAGAACATAAATAACAATTGTGTGCACAAGAAGGGAAGAGAAGGATAGACATGACCACAGCTATTTGGTTCCAGCCTTTCCCATGGTGATGATCTGGTCGGGGAATTGGGCAAGACTGATTGTAGGACTCCGGGAGGGTGAGAAGTTCAAGCCAACAGCTGCACCAGCATGATATTCACAGTAGGGATTGTTTTCTAATAACCAGAGAAAGCTAGGCATGTCTCGGGTGACATCCCATCTTTTCAGATATAAGTGAAGCAGCCTGACATTCTGTACATGTCAGTCAATATCCTGCCTGCAAGGGGTTTATAAGTCACAGTGGGGCACCATCAACACCACACCACCTGCACGCCTCACTTTGCCTTCTCCACACTCATGCTCCCTCATATGTTCTCCCCATCTCAGTCCCTGCATGTTCTGCCCATTCCAGGATCACTGTGACCTGAGATTGCCCTTGACACTTCTGCCACCGGCATCACCATGGAGTCGACGGCCGTTTACAATAGCACCACGGTGCCAGCCGGCGGCGCGCAGAACCGACGCGCCTACATGGACAATATCAGCTATGCCTCGCTCAACCCCAAGCGCTGCTGCAATGTCGTCATAGGTCAGTTGGCTTGGCCTATCTCAGTGTGCCTTGCAGACTTGGTTGTTACATTGGATGTTGCGGATTTGAGATCAGTTGGCAAGGTGTCTTGGGCAGTGCTTCAGCCGGTCTTGGTTGTTAGCAGCAGACGCCATAGGTCTGTTCGCGTCTGGTTTCCTTAGGGACATCGCGGTCAGTAGGGTCTGTAGGCGTCGCTCGCCACTGGTCTGGTGCCACCCTCTTCCATCCCTGCCCAGTGTAGATGGCTTGTAGAGCGAACATGCTCATCAGCGTGTAACTGGCGTCGGGGTGAAATGTTACATGAGTGGGATTTAGCCTTTGTACCGAGCTGTCTTCTGGGCATCATTAAACAATGGGGACAGAATGGTGGAAGCCCCTTCAGTTACATGTTACATGTTCATTCTAAGGGCGTATTTGCAGCTCACCAAGAATATTTGCTCACGTAGAATATTTGCCGGACGTGTTCCCAGCGCGACGTGTTTTTGTTTATATATTCGTCAATGTCGTGACAATAACTATGCATGCTAAGACATTTAGATTTTCGTTTCCAGGTACTATGTGTGCTCTTTTGCAATGGAAGTTACAAATTATAATGTATTCAGCATATTAACTACATTTGTATCACTCGTTGCCCGTGCGGGACACGCAAAGTGGCTTGTTTGTACTCGAATCTGCTGCGCCATTTCTGTCTCACTTCGGTCAAGTCGCGGAAAAAGACTCTGCGTCTGTCAAAGGCTCTACGTGACGTCACGTAACACATCAATGACAGGTCATAAACAAGTCACTTTGCGCGTTTAGGACCTACGACGGATAATGCAGAAGTGTGTTATGCGTTGCAAACTATTGCATGCAGTTTTGTCAGGAACACGCGTAGTACCTGCGAACGTGAAGTCTAGTTGTGTAAAGGCTAGTTTTAAAGGTGCTCGCATGCGTAGTTATTGTCACGAAAGGTTGTGGAGATGTAAACAGAAAACTTGTTGCACTGCGAACGCGTCCGGAAAAGACTACGTACCGTCACGTAAAAAGAACATTGCTGGTGCGCCGCGAATGTTCCCCTAATACCTTGCTCAGCTTTGTTGCAAGAAGAGCGTGGGCATGTATTGCGTTCCTGGAACTACCTCCCAAGCCGTGGAAGCCGCACGGATCACCCCGGCGTCTGTCCACAAGGCGACCGACCCGCCTGTAGCACCGCGGTGCCGCCGCCGCCGGTCGCAACCGGACCAACATGGCCGCGCCCATGCCCGCAGTGGTGGTCGGCATTTTGGCCGTGCTGGCCGGCCTCTCGCTGATCCTGTACGGCAGCCTGTACTACATCAGCGTGCGCGACCCGGACGAGTTCGAGACTCCGATGGAGCGCCGGCGACGCGAGGAGAGCATGCTGGTGTACCAGATCCTGCTGTTCGTCGGCATCCCGGTGCTGGTGCTGGGCTGCGTGCTGTGGATCGCGTACCTGTACCGCACGGGCCGCTGCAGCTACTGCCCGCTGTGCCCGGGCGCCCGGCGCCGCCGCCGCGCGCGCGAGTACTACGAGGCCCAGGTGAGCGCCGAGTCCGGTGTGAGCGGGCGGCGACGCCGGCAGCAGGCTCTGTGGGAGAGCGTGCGGTGTCGGCCCGCTGCAGCGCCAGGGCACGGGTTAGAGGTGGGCCCCGTCTGGGAACACGCTGGGTGGGATGAATGTGCGGGGGACGCGTGCTGCTGGGGCCTGGATGCTCTAGACGCGGGGATGACACAGGCCTTGCGTGCGTTAGGCATCTTCGGAGGTGCATTTATAGGTGTTATGCTTGTGCCTTAGAAGAGCTAGTCCAAGCTGTACTGCGCCTTCAGCAGGCAGGTGACGGTGTAGTCAGAGGGCTGTTGTTCGAGAGTAACTGAATGTTATGGTCGGCAGGTCCGTCCTTGTTTGGTCGGGTCTGGTCGGGTCCGATTGAGTTGGGTAGATCGGATTGGATAAGGTCAGGTCAGATGCGCCTGTTCCGGCTTAGCCCCTGGCTCGTGCTCTGCCCGCCTCGTACAACCTCTCTTGGTGTAGCCGAACACACCACCCCGTCGGCCCCACATCTTTTAACGCGCCTCCCCCTGCTGCCGCAGCGAATCGAGGCGGACAACATCTCCAACGGCTACAGCACCCACCCGACCACCATGCTGCCGCTGGACGAGCAGGACCGGCTGGTGAAGCTCAACCGCGACGAGTACTCTGGGTGAGGAGGCGGACCGCCGCCGCGTCTGAGCCGGCATGCGGCATGGATACGCTCCGCGCATGCGCGGCCGAGGGGCATGGCGGCGCGGGGACGCGAAACTGTCGCGGTCCGCGCGAGTTTAAAGGGTGTGTTCCACATTAAGATGAGGGTTCTGAACAGATATAGCCATTTGGATGCTATTCAGTGCAGTTTATTGTCATGCCCATTTCAAGATTTAAAACCCTCTTGTTTCTGAACTTGATGCCTGCGAACTTGTGCAGACGATTTCGTGCATAATTTTTCAAGGTCGTCAAGACATGCATGATGCCATAGACATGCCACGCGTTGGCCATGTGGTGGCCAAGATCAAGCAAAATATGATCATCGAATCATTCGCGTCTGACGTACGTCAGTACTCATCAACAGCGATATTTGGCATGAACTCTCACCGGCTGGCCCCCAACCTATTTAGTGTGTTGAGCGCACGGTTCGAACACCAACCGCGGCCTATGACGCATGATACGGAATTATTGGGCGGTGGTTATGACGGAAGTAAAGGCGAGAGGCAATTCTGGCACGGCCAGTCTGGCAGCGTTCTGGACTCTTAAGCACGTTCCACGACGTAACCAAGCGACGGCGCATTAAGGAACACATCTATTATGTAATGAAATGATGTCTATGACAGTCTTTTATGCTTAACAAGCAAATCAGTAGTTTGAAGCGAAGCTTATGTCATCATATCTTGTGTTTCCCTTAATATCTTCAAATGTGGAACACTCTCTTAAACGGCGCGGAGTCGAGTGAGGTTAAATGGACTGTGAAGCATGTGAGCTCTAAAGTGGATACGCTCGTGGTGTTTTTTTATCGTTGTGAGAAGGCGTTGCTTTTTTACAGCAGGCTTCGTTTTGGGACGGGGAGGGGATAAGCTGGACCTACCGAGGTGGGTCAAAGCGTGGTAGTGAGCAAGATGACGCGCGTCTCTTGCGGATGTCGCACATTGGGAGGTCTGCACATGTGTAGCACTGCATGACGTGCGTGTGTCCCTCTTAGCGTGGGAGATCTGCATAATTTGTGCTGAAGCTTTGGCTGGAGAGTGTCCACCTGGAGAGTGGTCCGTCCCTCCAGTCGTAAACTCGCATCGTTTAGCTGCCCCGTTAAACTGCTGTATTGCTGCCGGCTCTTCTTTCGCCTATCGTTGCCAGTCGGTCTACTTTGTTCTACTCGCCCGTTCGCCATCTCTCGCTGCCTTTCTGTGCCTCAGTTGTGACGCGTTTCCCTTTGCCGCGTCGCGTTTGGCCATCGTGCTGCACTAACCACGTGCGCTGCGCAGACGTTGAGCCCGTCCCCGTGCCGCCGCCACTAACCCGCACGTGCGTACTGGCGGCCGCAGCCTGGAGGATACAGACGCCATGCTGATGGCGGGCACCCGGCCGGTCCTCGTCCCCATGCAGACTACCATCTAGCGGCGTGACGGGTAAGCTGGAGTTGCAGCCGCTGCGGGTAGGTGGGGTGGCCAGCAGCAGCGTTAAGTCTCGTGAGCCCGAAATCACTCTTCCGAAGTGCGATGTGTGTAGGCCATGAAAGTGAAAATACGAGGCTGTTAAGGTTATGATGATTAGGAATGATCTACGCGACTGTTGACTGTTTTTAGGAAAAAGCTGCTTAGGGTCTGCGACAAACATGGTCGGGATTCGACAATGGCTGAACGAATGTTGCTTGAGCCAGCCGCATGTGTCACTGTTTCGTAATAAGCCGTGAAATAAGGACAGCTTGTCGCACGCGCCGAAAAGGGAGTACACCAAAGAAGGAAAATGATGGATGGAGGGGTGATGGTGACATGTGTATGTGCTTCTTCCGCACACCACAACGTTTCTGGCGACTGAGCGACGGACCGCCCCCGCCCCCAGCTCGGCTGTGGTGTCGGCTCGGCGTCGGCTCCGCTGGCCCGGCCGGAGGACCTGTCGCCGACGGGCGGGCGGCGTGCGCGCGGCCACACGGCCGCCTCGCCGTCGTGCGGCAGCGCCGAGTTTCCGCGTCTCAGTCCGTCCACGGCGCCGTCTTCCGACTTTGTGTGCAGCAGCCTGGCCCGACGGCCTCCCGCGTGATCACTGGGCAGCTATTTTGACGTCACGGACCGCGCAGTCCGCCACGACGTCGTGTGTTGGGTGTGGATGATTGGATGTTATGTTGCCAACGGGACCAAAAGAGGTTCCAGTAGGATAGCCGCGGGCTCCCGGGTGGGAGAACCCGCGCGATGCTTTTACTGACGGTCGGGGCGCTGTGTGCGGGCCAGGACACAGCTAACGCGCCGCTGACGCCGCCGAGGTGTCGCGCATTCGCCTGCCTTGTGTCGCCGCATGGCAGTCATTTTCGGTAGCGGGTGGTAGTGCCGGTAGGCGGCGTCTGGCTAAAGATCTGAACCGCTTCTCAGAACAGCACTGACTGCGGTGGACCATTTTCGGTTGTATTTTTGTCTCCGGTTTCCGTCCATTGTCCCTCATCGCCGGGCGAGGCCTGACGCGCACGTGGTCTTTACGTGACCGGCTGCGCTGTGTGAGGAGGTTCCACAATGCAGCACGCTCTGGAGGAGAGTTAGTCTCGCTGTTGGTTGTTGTGACACCTGTGAATGTTTACGTTAGCTCGGCAAGATTTCGCCAGCTGAGAAATTTTGTTATGCAGCGTGCAGCGTACGCACAGTGTCATAGACGGTGATAGATAGGATATCATACCAAGAGAGAGCATAATCATGCAATGTGCTAACATCACGTGTGGTGATACCGGGGTTATACGCCCCGAAGAGCTATTTTAAGGCAAGTTTTACACGTATATTAATACACGGTGGAACGGAGCAGATACCATTAGGATGGTGGTGTATTTCTGCGGCGTGGAGTGAGACATCCTGCGCGACAGGACAGCCTGACACATGGCTGTTCGGAGAGCCTGACGCACGACTGTCCGGACATCCTGACACACAACTGGGGTGCCGGTAGTGTAGTGGTTGCTACGCGTCTGGGAAGCCAGAGGTACGAGGTTCGAATCCCCGCGGTGCCCGCCCTTCCTGCCAGGGTGGGAGACGGGCGACGCCATATAGCCTCAGCAGCTGAGAGCGTCGTAAAGCCCCAGTGACACACACACACACACAACTGTCCGGACAGCCTGACACTCGAATCCGGCGCTGAAGCGGGCTGGGGTCCACGAGACGCTCGAAGCCGCTGGAGCACGAAAGAAGCCTGGTAACGACCACACGAGCGATCAGGGACGCACCCGTCCCCATCAGTGACCAGCTTCACACGGGAGGAAAGGAGTACAGTTTTTGCGCGGAGTAACTTCCCAGGCTTTTACTCCGAGTCCGGTTTTATGAAGTAAGGGTCTTAAGGGTAAGTAAGTCTTAACTCCTGTGTCCGTTTTTTTCTGTTTGCGGGGAAATTTGATGTGAGGTATGCACGCTTCCCGCATGGTGCGGATTTCACGAGATAATTTTTATTTCTTGGTTTGACACGAACAGGCATGATGTAAGTTCACAACATGCACAACCTTGGGTAAGGATGACGACAGTTATTTCAGCGAGCTTTTATCGTTGATGTCCATATTGCTTGCACACGTAGTGCAGGAGAGCTCAGTGTACAAAGCAGGGCAAAAGAACGCACATGAACTATGAACGCACGAATTACAGGATTTCTGCATTTCAACGAAATGAAAATGATCCGCATTACTGCATGAATTATTCCTTCCACGACTAAACGTATTACTGATTTCACCAATCAATGACGACACCTTGTGTGCCATTGAAGCGATGTTTCTGGATTTAATGAAATCATCCAAAACTTCCGCTCCAAAACGACAACATCATTGCCATGGCAACGAACGCTTGTATCGCTATTGAACTTACTTCAGCCAGCTGCTCGAGTAGCCTTGACTTCAGCTTCAGCATTTTACAATTTGTTTTGGAGGTTTCTAGGGTCTTTTTTTCGAGGGGTGATGCTAGGTTTATGAAACCGAGGTAGGAAGTAGGGATTTACGTCTAAATTACCTTGGGCGGCCAGAAGGAAAGAGTGGCTTCTTTTTCATGACACTGATTACGAGGCGGCGTAAAAATGCGTCGAAAAAGCAGCCTGAATCCGCTCTGATGAGACGACCGATCTGCCTCGCCGCTCTGATAAGACGACCGATCTGCCTCGCCGCTCTGATGAGACGACCGATCTGCCTCGCCGGTCTGAGGTCGCCCATGAAGGACATCGCCAGATCAGTTACACGAGTTTAATCAGGAAGATATGTACCATATCCATGCTTCCACGGTGCACGAAGGTACATGGCAGAAGGTGATCCGTTTTGTCAACCCGCCGTCTTCACCAAAGGCCAAGGATCGAAACATTAAACAGGCATTGTGCTATCCAGCCCCATGCCTATACGCCTTTAAGGCCTAATAAAAAGGAAGGTCAGGGCGTGGTTTCACAACATGAGTTGGGAATGAGAGGGCCTGAACATTGAAAAATGACCCAACCTACACCCCGAAATGTGCCCAGACAGGTTTCTACACATATTTTGTCCACTTCCTTTCCAAAGAGTGGGGGCTGGTACCCAAGTTGGGGGAGGGACTTCAGCCCCTTCCAAATGAAAGGGAACTTCAACCCTGAGGAGGATGTACGCTTTAGTTATGCCTTGTGAAGCTCGTCACGCCTCCCAGCGAGGGACAAACGCTCACGCGCCGACGAGGCGTTAGGCGGCGCGCCTCGGCCCCTGCCCGGCGGCATGGTGCCATGTGGACTTCGACAGTAAGCGTGACAACCCGGCCGGTAAGATTCATGGCCAGCTGCCTATAGTCGGCACCGCACCTCTGACCTGATTTTCCAGATGAGCATTACCTCATGTTTCATGCATTCCAGGAGGAACGCTAAGCTGTAAACGACGGCGTAAAATGGCCAGTGAGGAATATGTTCCACCCGGCATTTTCACGTACACGGTAACTGACGTGCGTATTTAAGAGAGCACGACGTTTGCAGCAGGTGTGCATTTTCCGGTGTCCTCTCACCTCTTCAGCCGATAAACAGGGCACTTTTGTGTCTGGTGCGGACGCCCCCCCCCCCCCCTTGGCGCGTCCCCAGCAGCTGGGTGAGCCCTCATCGGGCCCGCGGAATCCCCGCCAGTCCCGCCGGCCCGCTTCGTCAGTCCGAGAACCTTGGCACGATCTCAACCGTGCCTGGGACACGGGCTGGCGGTCAGAACCGGTCCCTCCCCCTCCCGCCGCGCGCCGGCCGCTGGTGGCTACGGCACCCGACTCACACGTACCGAGCTGCGCTGCGAGGCGGTGGGCTGGATCGTAACCGGAGCCGTCCACTCGGAGATCCAGGTGAGGCGGCGCATCGCGGTCGGTCCATACGTCCAGAAGGCAATTACTAATCTTGTGCTGATTACTAAATTACTAAGTAAATCCTGCGCTGTGGGCGCATTGCGTGCGTTCATGCACGTGTGTGTCGTGTGCTTTGTGATCGATTGCCAATCAGTGATTGACAAAAATTCTGATTCCAAGATGCGATTGTCAAGCAACTAGATGAGCTTATTTTACATCTACATTTTACATTTACCTGGTTGTAACATATGTTTCAGCTGTTTTTGCCACAGCCTGTGACAAATGCCGACACCGTGACGGAGCACGGTTGCATCAGGCATGCAAACAGTTTTTAAAGGGAGGCCACGATCCCAGTTTTCCTGACGGCTGCTTGAAATACAAAAAAAAAACTTCTTGAACGCGTACGGAAGGTATACAAAGACGATTCTTCACAGGGCGGGTAGATAGCCGTTTCTTAAATACGCTCCTGTGTCAGAATCAAGTGCTACAATTGTTCTCTGCAAAGACCAAGCGACCTCAGCTTAGGTCTGTGCCCTCTGCTCTGATCCTATCGCAGCGACGTAGCCGGGGGCTGCACGAACCTCAACAAGCCCAACAACGGTGGGGGGCGGGGGGGGGGGGGGGGTATGGCCGAGCTATTAGCACTTTGGGCTTCCACATGGGCCCGGGCTCGAACCCCGGTTGCGCCATAGACCCTGAACCACGGTCATATGACCCCTGCAGTCGCTGGCACTTGATAACAAGGGAACGCGACGTCATGTGTCGCGTTGCTCTAAAAAATGAGCTGATCAGCGCGAAGGCCCAACTCGCCTGCGGGATATTGTACATTATTTCAAAACAAAGATGGGAAATTGATGCCACGTGCGGTTGTTTTTTGGATGTTCCAAGCGAATAGGCAACCACGGTTAGCCACTTGGCCACAGATCGGACGGCTAGCCTCAGGAGGGCGCACTGTCTTGTGGAACTTTGATAATATCCCGAGGCCCGCCAGCCCTTGGGAAATTCAAGAAGATTTTGCGGAATTAAAAGTAATCTGAAGTAATGAATAATATCAGCGTTTTTATGATTATTGTTTATACCTTTCAGTTACTTTAATGCATTTTATCTATTTTTTAATATTATTGTTTATCTGTATTTATTATTATATCATTGTTGTGCTATTTTGCGTCGGGGCCCAGGTCTATAAAAGGGGGGCATGAATCTAAGCACTATTTGAACGGAATGTCCTACATTTGGAGATATTGAAACATCAGATATAATAGAATAAGTTCATGTATAACTTTTGGTGGACTTTTAACTGGAAAAACTGCTCTACACAGCGCAATTTCTCTTTCTAGTAAACATGGCTCTCAATACGCCATTGTTCGATAACGTCATCGTGCCGTGCACAACGCTTATTGCGGGCCAATTTACGGCCGTATATCTGTTAATCGTGCTCACGAAAGCCAGAAATGAACGACTCGACAATTAGGTTTTTCGGCCTTGATTGCCGCATGGCCAGTTGGCTGCCAGGATTTGAATATTGTTTTTATGACGTTATGGGTGTCTGTGGTCCTTGTAATATTCTGCACAAAATAGTCTGCACAACATGGCCGGCACGTGGCTCAGAAAGCAGAGGGTTTTAGGTCTTAAGAAGGGCAGGGCTGCGCACTGCGCCGAATGGCCTTCAAGATGCCTAATATATCAAGATGTTAAAACCCCATACAAATATGGTCCATTCCGGCGCGGCGCAGGAGCAAACCAGCTGGAGACAAGCCGATTTAGCTCAATCTTTCCCTTTCAAGTGCATTGATGAATAGATGTGGATGATGATGATGATGATGTGAAAATGGGCGTAGGAACATGGGGGGGGGGGGGGGGCAGGAGGCCAGCAGTGTTAATTGCCCCCCCCCCCCCCCGCACACACACACATCTTTCAGATTACGGTTATGTTTAGCTTACTTTTGCACCACATTTAAATATGCATGCCGATTTACCTAGTTCACCAGCCATGTTCCTCAAGATGCATCATCTTTTTCGTTTGCTTATTGGCCATCGCTTAATGTCACAGCCGCAGGCCGACGCCACGCGGCCTATGGAGACTGCAACGCCGGGCGTTCAGGCTGTTGTTGCCATGGCTTTGCAAGTCATGTTCGCGTATGTTCATAACCAAAGCGGAGTGGCCCTTGAATGTTCAAAATATGGCGTAGTGTTTTACCAGCAAGCAATTCTGACTAAATCTGTAATATTTTAAGCCGGACATGGATAGCCATGCCAATGCAGGCTTAGGACCCCATGCCATCTACAATCTACGTTCAGGGACTCCTCAATATCTCTGAAGAAAACAAAAAACACGGACTGGAGCCTGTGTGACAGCTATTGGAACACCTTTGGCAATGAGGGTCCTTGTGCTTATCCGGGGCCAACCACGCGGGTCAGAAGGCGTCCCGTGTCAGAGAGGGGAACAATGTGATGTGATGTATCCTTCCAATGCCCTCCGGATCAACCAGGAGACCCCGCCC